TGACACATACTGTAGTCTGCTTTAGCCCCGTAAATCCAAAAAGTTCCGAACACATTTTTCATTCTGTTTCACTATATTTCGACGATTTGTTTCGAGTAACTAACACAAAGCCCACTTATTCGTCTCTACAACTTACGCAGTTTAGCTGTGAAGAGAAACATTGAAGCTATAGGAGGCTGTGGGATCTTGAGCTTCCCAGATAGGTGCGCTTCTAAGATGAACGAGGTTTTGGCCTGTCCCGCAATTGCGCGCTTTCCGAGAAGAATTGTACACTGACTACAGTATCCAGCTTTCCATCCCAGTATTGGTTATTTATGTACTTCGCACATCTCAAACCAGTGATTCTACCAGACCATGTTCGCCCTAACCAATCAGAGCGACGTTCCTCGAATACGAAATCATAGTGATTGATGCTTGTTGGCAAAGTTCTAGCATCAGCATCATTACAAGCAAGGATAGCGGAGAGTTACGGTCGTACAATACTCTAGAGATTTACGCATTGATGTTATCCTAATGTCGCGCGCGTGGAACTAAAATGATAACGTTATTCAGAATCATTTGTTCTAGCTTTGTCGTGTAACTCAGTCAATTTTACTTTCCAGCATAGAAACCTTTGCCCAACTGGTACATGCATCTGTCTGATGTGAGATTGAAGTTTGTTTCAACCCTCACATTCTTCGGATCACTAAACCGAATTTTTACTCGGCGGAACTAGCTTTAAAAAAAACATTCTCAAACGCTTAAGTTCTAATAAGGATCCAGATTTCAAGTAGGGGATCAATCTTCGGCGGGCTTAGACAAAGGTAGTCCGGGAACCGAGATTGGATTCGACCTGCGGACCATTTGGTAGGTGAGATTCAGCCTTAGCCGCTGATTTGTCTAGCGCAAGGATTTCTTCCCTCATGATTATATGACAGTTGTGCCGTTGGTGTATTGCTGTCAACGATTGTGAATCATGTTACAGATGCCGGCGTATCGCCATTCGACACGTGTCTTGGTATTGGTGCAAAATTGTCTGCTGTTGGACTTTTCACTTGCGACTGCCGACATAAATGTGCTCACAGAACGCTACCATGTCCATCTCCTTGCCACATAAGTCGGGAATGCGGAATACCCTCAAGTTACGCGTAGTCAGCGTCAAACTATGGTTTGTTTTTGTGGTCACAGACAACAACCCCGACGAATGTTAATTAATCTGCTTTTGGATGCTTGATAAAGCAATTGCAAAAGCGCCTTTGACTTGAATGAAAATAACTTCAGTGGAAGGTATAAGGCTGATCAGAACAAAGCTTGTTCTTGAAATGAGTCTCTGTTGCACGAAAGCAGTCAATCTGATCTTATCCATGTCCTTTCGGAAAAGTTCGTTTGACCGACCGAGACGATTAACTGTTTTCCGTGCAACATTACTGCAGTTGATGTAAAGTAGCGTTTTTTGGCGTATACGAGTGTGGGGGTTGTCCACCGTTCCCGAAACTCCAAAGCTGGTTATAAAATTCCTCATGCTGAGGGCCTGTCTAGTTCACTGTCTTTGAGAATTCGAAAAGCGGATACTATGCGCGGAGGAAGTTAAACGAGGTCAACGAAAATCTAATCAGTGCGGTAGATTACAGAGAGCGTTTCAGCACATTAAAACGTCCAATTAAATTCAAGCAGCTGCCTTTGTCCTCCGTTTGCTTGTGACAACTGATTCAACGAATCTGTGTGAGAAATCGTTCCGGGCGATCTTATTTTCAGTCAGCAAATTAGAACATGCTGTGAAAGTAACGTGACCAGTTGTAAATTTGGAATATATGCATGACTCGGCTGACCTTGTGGATGAGATAATGGGTCAGTCATTCGACGACGGGCTTTCGAACTCCGTATGAATGTCTTCAAATCGCCTGTTGGTCTTAACCTTTCAGAATTCAAGTAAAAATAATTTTTATACTGTGCACACAGGTTGGTATGTGGGAATCCTATGGGCCACTTACTTACCTACGCCCGGCTCATCTGGACTTGTCTGTTAGTGTGAAGTTTCGTCTTTCTATAGCTGCATCAGCTTACTTTACAATACGCACGATATCCGCCCAACAGTAGTTTACGCTGTTGATAAATCCAACGGGATTTAGTGATGTAAAGCAAAACAGTCAACCAATCCTCGGGATTTTTATGCTACGGAAGCCACTCGGCGTAAACTGCAAGTCTTCATACTGAAATTTGAAGTATAAACCAAGTGAATGTGATAAAATTACGGACTTGGACGGCAATTAAGTTTTAGCCGACCAACTGATTTGGGTCGATTAAACAACAATTGAGCGCCCCAGAGGCAGTGGTGCTCAAGAGACTACAGCGATTACCCAGACGCTGGCAACCTCCCTTCCATTCGACAGTTTTGACAAATGTTGCGGCCCTTGAAGCTCGCAAACTGGAAGCCCTATGTACTTAGGTGACTGTGACCATCCGGAACCATCATCTGGCGTTACACTCTTCGACTCAAACAAACGGGTATTTCTAAACCGATCGCAGAAAGTGCACCGGGCAAACGTTTGACCGGCACTTTCGGTTTACAGGGAATGAGCCTGTTGGCTTAGGTGAGTCGGGCAAGTGATGGCTGATTAAGTTTCAGGCCGTTAGATCTGGACTATACATTCTGATTCCAGCTTGTGCAGCTGGCAAATTCACAGAAGCACATCCTAAATTCTTGATGCACTTAGTCAATTTGCGTTGTCTGGACTGAGCGATGCCGGTTAGCTCCGATTCGAGCGATCCTGATGCATGCCCACTTTTCGGGCAAACAATCGAAGTTCAAACCATTATTGGTTTTCGCATAAGTGCTCCGTCCATCAGGTATTGTCCGGTAGCCCAACACATGAAGGAACTCAATCATAGACATCATAATCAGTAAGCCAGACAGTTGTTAAGTTCATTACATCCGAAGGCTAAGAAATCCTTTGTTTAGCAAATTCTGGAGTGGTCATGTCCTAGTGCATTGAAAAGATAGTAATTTGAGGACTAGAGAGTAGAGCTGACGCTTCAACGTACAAAGGGTGCTACTGTCAAGGGTGGACACTAAGCGTTGGGTAATCCACAGAATCAAATCGCTCTTGTTATGGGAGACGGATTCTCTCGAACTCTGTTTCAGGCAAGTAAATGCCTGGTGCATTCAAGAACTGAATCCGCCTTGACTCGACGTGTAAGAAACTCACGGGGGGCAGAAAATACTCTCAGCCGCCTAAATCTGGCCCTGTTGCTAGTTTCACTTGAATCCCTGAGTACAAACAGAGTGGTTCAGCTCATGATTGTCATCGTTCGGCGTTATCTGCCGTCGTGTCGGCGGGAGATGAATTTACGACGAAGAGTAACTGTTAGGCGTGCTCGTCAACAGAGGGTTACCGACCGTCAAGCTTGGGGAGATTTCAAGGTACAATCCATGCCTCTATACTGTGGGTTTTCTCATCGCTCTGACTGAGACAAAAGACACTACAAAATTCCCCCTTCTGAACCGCGATTTCATGCACCTACGAAATCGTATCAGATAATTTGTTCAAGAATAATGATTGAATCGATCTGAAGTCCTACGAGTGGGACCACTCGTTTGAATAATTTATTTCCAGGCATTTCTTACCACACAGTGGAGATAGTTGTGACGTCGGTATATTAAAAAATCTTACTTGAATACGTCGACAACTGCTGAACATCAAGCTACATCCACTGTAGAGAGTGGGGTCATCCTGGAAAACGAATTGCTGTATAAGTATAACGCTGGTGTTGCTGTTAACTGACATTGTTTCCCACTGTCTACACAAGCGAAAGTTTGCTGGCCGTCAGGTTTTATACGGGACGGTTGTGATCTCTGTGAAGGCGTGGCGTGGCGAATGCAACTGTCAACTCTTTCCTGTCCGTCGTTTTTGTACTGTCGGTGACAAGCTGTCCTGTTTGGAACGCTACTAATTCAATTACAAAAAATAAATGAATTTTCCTTCGGTGACAAGTGCGCTTCATGCTGTCTGTCGAACACTGACACCAGCGTTCATTGAATCCTTTGACTGTCGGTGACAATATTTTGAGAATTAACTGATCTGCAGGTTAATAAACAGTGTATGCCGCTGGAATTGGCACAATTTGTTGAGAACTGCTCTTATCTGGGTTGCAAGCTGTCTGCATTTTTGGGTTCCCAAAATAGTCGTGATGCCATTCATGTGTATTTCTACAGCTTTAAACGAAACATCTAAACTTAACTATTCTATATTTGCAAATATTGCAAGCTGTTCCCGAGAAACACGCGTGGATCGGTTTGAACCACTGATCCTTCGGCTAGGTGATTTGCGCCTCAATCAGTGCGTTACATCGACTTGGATTGCGGAGCTCCACGCAGCTTGAGCGACTAAGCTAAGGTATGCGCTAAAATCCAAACCCTACACTGAGTTGTAGAACCGGCGCAATGCTGAGCCGCTTTTGACAGCCCAACAAACCACTGCAAAATCACCAACCTTTACTCACAGGGGAAGAACGGAACAATTGCTAACCCTCTACAATTGCTGGTAGGCTTCCGTGTTAAATATTCATACAGAGCGCTACATCAGTTTTCCACAGAGTACCACAACTTCATCTTCGCCCCAATACATCTCGTGAAAAACGCTGGAGATCTCAAACTTTAAGCTACATGCCGTTTGACGTCTGTTTCCTTGAATCTGGCCTGCAAAGATCGATATCACAATCTCGGTCAGATGCCTGGCCGCAAACTGGTAACAATTTTAGCCACCTGAACGGAGCTGTAAATATGTTGTTATATTCGTGACACCCAAGCCGTATCGCTCGTCAGGGTTCAGATGCGCAGAGTCTATCTAGTTAACACGTTATATTTTGGAGGCAAACTTTCATGGAACTAAGAGTATAGAGAAAAATGTGACTCTATGATAGTCCCGATTTTTCAGGGCTTTAGTTTTATTCCACGAAAGAGTCGCCTATTATTCTTTCTTATTCGTGGTCGACTTACGGAAATTTTCCGCTTCTGATTTCAGTGGCGACCACCTGCAATTCACGACTCCTATCAGATCGTGTCCAGGTTCCAGACACGGCGTTTGAGCATTCAAGCGCCTTCAATCTCCAACACGGCGCTTCAGCGGCAAGGTAAGCATTCCCTGTTTGTCGACAACACCCGTCTAAATTCAAATCCACCTCATCAAAGCTTAATCAAAACCACAAAATTTTCTCTCCATCAAAAATCTTGAACCATCAATCTATCTGTTATTTTGAGTTTTTGATGGGCAAAGTAGGCACGTCCGTTGGCAGAGAGTAGTCAAGTCGAGAACAGAAGGCTCTAACCTTCTTTCCAAAAAAACAAATATTCCACTACCGCACTTTGTGGTACCATCTGTTTACTCAAATATTTTGATAGTTTTGTGGATAGTTTATCCTGTAAGTGAAGCCAATCTTGGCTCAAAAACTGGCATATCACATGGAAAAATTGGTAGAACAATCCCACCAATGCAATTTTGTGTTTGTTTCACTCAGGGGACAGCTGCTTGTCTCAAAACTTTTTGTTTTGTGAACCAGAATTTGGTTTAGGTAGATGAGGACGATTTCAAGGGAAGCAAAGTGCGACGTTAGCGCAATCAATTTTCGGTTTGGCAAACTGCGAATCTTTTTAATGACTATGTGTTGAAATAAGCAGTAATCTAGCTCCTATGGTGAATTAAAACCAATTTTTACCACTATCCCAGCTCGACGCGGTTAAGAAGCCATATTTATTCGAGCTTCATGCACAAGCGGACGAATGTTCTCCTGCTGTGAACACTGAGTATGCCCAACTAGGTAGTTTTCTAGCGATGCAAAACTAAAAGAACATTTTGTGGGAGTAGTGGAGGATGAGGGCTTGAAATCCACAACCGACTGGATTCTAGTTTCCCACTGTGAACGTCCCATCGGGGGACATTTCCAGAACCTGGTTCCAAGAATTTACAACTCGAACTCAAATTGAGCGTTTGCAATTTCAAGAAAATCAAGTGTAATACGGAGCACGGCGCATCTCAGAGAATCTTCATTTTGGAGAATTCTGATGTGAATTTGGCTTGCTGTCAGATTTCATTTGGTGTTAAGGAGTGATTGTATGAAATGCTGAAAGTAAGCCTCACGTGATTCCCAATGTTCCTGAATTTTGAGCTGCCATGCCATTAAGGAGGGTTATCTAGAATCCTCACAATGGAATCTCGATTCGCTACTTAGTTTCGGGCAGCAAATGGATATGAGACTCCACGGACCTCCCAGTGTGGTGTCACCATAAACGTACAGAATATAAAAATATAAAAACATTGGATCATCGGAACTAATAAAATTTTTCAATTATGCACACATCTGAGATTTGCTTTTTGACTGATCATTCGTTCAGGGGGCTGAATGGAAGGGTAGGAAAATTCTGAATTACAATTTCAGTCAGGGATACTGCAATCCAATCCACACAATATGGTGAACAACTCTGTCGTGAAAAATTGTGATCCTGGTCTAACTTTGTGTGAAACTAAACGAAGTACATGCGGATAGAAAAAGTAAGACACTGTTTGTCCACCGTTCGACCATGGCCTATAGGCTCTGTTGTGATATATTAACAAGAATCATCTTCTGAACTGTGCATCGCGCCAAAATCAAAAGCAATCATCCTAACCACTTAAGCGGTGGCTTCTCCCAAACGGATAATTTTGGGATTTACCTGGTTTACCACGATTCGCTCAGACAGCTCAGACATTCTTGTCTGGGAAAAAGCTCCATATCTGCATTAAACGCTCGGTGATCGTGATGGTGGATAGTAGTGGATTAATGAGGCTTCTCGTAAAATAATCAGACAGTAATCCAATGGTTACAGAAAGTTTTTTTTCAAGTGGAAACTATCTCAGTCAAAGACCAGGTGATTCTGATGCGCCTTTGTAGAGCTGAACACTCGTGATATTTTAAATGAAATCTAATGGATTTACTAACCGAAAGATCCGTGGTTCGAATCCGATTTCTATCTCTCGACTACCCCAGTCAAGGCTTGGGCAACCGAGCAGTATCCCAGCCTTCTTGCTTCCTTCTGATGGCATGGCAGTTAGATACCGAAAAAGTGCTACAGTTGAACTAACGGATAGTTGTTAAGACTGTGCATATCTAGTTTTGCTGATAACAGAAAGCTTTTAGACACAAAGATTCCCCTTCAGTTCGATGTTGTGTAGTTTTTCTCCAAGTTTCATGGAGGATTGCCTCCAACTAAGCGAATCTTGATGTTAGCGCATGATGTTCGACATTTCGACCTTTAGTGGGCGTGCACGTTCTAGGAGTAATGCGGCCACCACGCCAATCACCCAATGGTTTCTGGTGTTCTGGAGAACAAACAACTGGCTAGTTTCCATGTGAAACATTTTGTTTTTGATTGACGGTCGTACTTACGGGTATGCCGCGCTTAGAAGACTCCCCCAGGGCATGCATGTTTCGTAATCCTTCAAATAAGACCCACCTTCCTCGGCACATCACGTGAGAATTGGAGGTGATGCTCGTTTGTAGTTTTCCGCACCAGAATCTCTTCCATAAGACACACCGCATTGTTCTGCCTCCATTCAAACGAACCCAGTTATCGTTTCACTTTTTCTGTCCCACATGTGTCGCTGGTTTTGCGTTTCGCCGTTTGTTTTTATTACCTGGTTCACACTGGCAAGAGACTAATGTGAGGTTCCTTTGCATTCGATGTTTTCACACACAAATCCCGCGACTCTCAGGGTGGCAGCTGTCCATTTTTGCAACATGGTTTTGAACCACATAAGTCTTGTTTTGCAGTGTGCGACCCGGGACAGTCTTTCTTATCTTCCGTTTGCATCAACACTTCGAACTGCTGGGGAATGACGCATAGCCAGCTTGATATGTTATGGGTTAAATTTTATGTCGTTTCCCTAATTTTCAGAGGGTCAGTTAGAGGCGAACTCCAGGTGTCCAGTTTATGTGCCTTTGAAAAAACAAGCGCGCTCTGATCGAAGCGACCACTGATTAAACATGTAATAAACTACGCGGATATCTGATATTGTGTGCTCGATTACCACAACAGAAGGCGTGCTAATGCTTCAGTTCCATCGAACTGTTGCTTTGAAATCAGACTGATCACTACGAAACGTGTGACCAGCGGCATATGATGCCATCATAAAATCTTTTCGTTGCAACGTTTTGGACAAACAGTAGTAAGTTAAGGAATTAACAAAAGTTACCTTACACTTACACAAATGCAGAGAAGCTAGCATCATCGGACTGTTTCAAGCAGATTACTGTTGGTCGAATAAATACGCAATTTTTATATCGCCAACAATTCAGCTGCACTGTTACGAATTAGGAACTTGGGTATTTGGCCGGGATGTTTGCATTTTCCCGTTTCATTTGTGAATCATGTAAGCCCCATTTATCACGGTTTGCGTTGTTTGAATCAATAGACGCTGGAGTGCAATATTCAATAGAATAATAGTTCCACTCAGGTGCCGAATACGCATGTACTAATGAAACATTTGCAGTGCCTTTCTCGTGCACCACCTGAAATTGAATACTGTCTTAAAGTCTTCCGTCAATTGTTGCTACAATATTGGAGTGACCGGTCTTTGCATGAGGTCACTAGGGCGACACCTCTATGCCAGACATATGGACGGTGGACCTTTCGAGCCCTTATGGGAACCAGGTTGGAAAAACGATAATAAGAGTCATAAACATTGATATTAATGTATCAAAACCACGTAGTGGCACTTAAACACCATGACGATGGTTGGAGGCGATGGTACGAAGGTACGTTTATCCGCAAGGTTCGTCATTATCTCAAAAGCTTCGCCTTACGGCCGAAGTGGTTGGCGGGAGGCTACTTGAACAGTCCAAATCGTGACGATTCAGTCGTCCAGCCTGGGGAACCAGCAGGTTTGGTTTCCACCTACCCCTTTACCTAACCTGGTAGGAGGAACTGCTGTGATGCAGAATGGGTATACTTCAGTGCAGACCATTCAGTAACTGAGCTACGCAAACCACTGTAACACAATAAAGCTTAGCCTTCTAGCGAGAAGCTGAATACCAGCGACGGTACTTTTGTAGCTGAGAAGAATGTCACTGACCACCAGCGTAACTGGCATTTGTGACTGAGTGATAATCATTTGTAGAATCTTGACGAGCAGCTGGACGCACTGCAGCATTTCGTAGTTTTTCTCCTGTAAACTCCATTGGGACGCTTTGTAAGCTTACCACAACGGATCAGCCAAAATTGTTACTGATGGAAAACTGTGATGTGGAGCAAAAACGGTCACTGTTACCAGTGAATTGCTTCACCCGTGGGTTCACTGGGACACACGGGGAAATAAAAGTGGAATCCGATAGCTATCCCATCATATATTGATGCCAGTCTCAAGTGTTTAATACACGAATCATATGAAGATTCCGAACCCGAATCAGGCCGGTCACGATGCGCTTATTCAGTTACACGCACATTATTGAAACACCGTATAAGCTTCATCAAGGGTGCTAGATGTCTGAGTAAGTCGACTTATTATGGCCACAGCCTTCAGGTATGTTACCTGGTTTTTGCCCAGAGATTTTTGCTATCCTTGAAGATTTGAAGGACTCGAAGAGACTGGCGATTCTTCAGGTGCCACGGGGTGCGTGTGGCAGCGAAACATCTAGTTGTACTGAATAATGCCGATGTGGCTTTTGGAAAATGTGGTTCTTCTGCTCAAGAAAGACAGTCCCGAGGGACCAACTAGGAGTAGGTGAATCTCCTAAAAGAGATTCAGTGATAACCATTTTTTTTTTCAAAAAAATCTTAACTAATGATGACCCGCCATTGTTTCCAGTGTTGATTATTGTTCAAGAAATAATGGACCTATGAAGGCCAATCAGATAGCCGGATTTTTCTTCAGTGGTTCTTTCCACTAATCCCATTTGAGTAGCTGTGTGGCATGTGGTAATCAATTTCCAATAATTTGCGCTGGAAATCCCCGTTAAATTTTAAAAGAGGTGGTCTAGTTTGATGGTCTCTTCAAATAAATATCCTATGTCTTTATGAATAAGTGGTGTTCAGATTTCAATTTCCTTGTGACGTCGTGATCTAATAGGCCGGTATTGATAATATCGACCACGAACAAAGT